GGACGGCGCCCGGAGCCGGCTCAGCCCCGCCTGCAGCAGCTCGCCCATCCACCTCTGGGGCCTCCGCCCGCCCCGCGGCAGCCCACGTGCCGCGAGGGAGGAGGCGGCCCAGCCGGAGAGGGAGAACAGATGGAAGGGCGTCCGTCCAGAGCAGGCACAGCGCGGAGTAGTACGCCCGCGAGCGCAGCCCAGGGTGGAAACCACATGAGTTAGAGGGTTTCAAAGAGGTTTTGCCAACTTTGCTTTTGTCCAAGCGGACCTGTCTGCCCCATCCTCCCCTAAGGCAGGTAGGTTAATCGATGCCACCAGTTAACGAAGAGCTGGATTACTGTAGGGGTTTACCACCTAGTGTTGGAATCTTCAGAGGTCTGGGTTCCAAACCAGCCTCGGTTACTTTGTTATCTTGTGATCTATCAAGTCACTAAATCTTTCAGCCTCAGTTTTCCTCATCAGTAAAATGGTCACAATGACGGTGCTTACCTCAAGGGGTTCTGAGGCTTAAATGTGGTAGTGCCATCGACAAAGGTAGTGCTGTGGGCACTGCGTAGAGTAAGCATCAAAAAAATGTTCGCTATGGGGAAAAGATTGTCAGATAACATTCAAGCGAGAAGTTTTCCAAAGTTGAAGTCACAATAAAGGATGCAGTCCCTCCCTATGCTTAAGAATTTAAACTAGGGTAACTATTCAGTATTTGAGAGCTTCTATGAGGGCTGCAAAAATGGTAATCTCACCTTTCATCAGGAGAGATATCCACTGTTTATTGGACGTCTAATATGTGCAAGGCACGTGCCAATCGCTGTGTGGGTCACAAAGTTGAACTATCTGGGAGTAAGATGAGTCAAAAGGAATAGTACCTCATCCAAACAAGGCTCTGCCTCTGAGAATTGATGGGCTGGCTCTAGATCGCCATTCCATGGCCCTCCAAGAAAGGAGAACTTGTTCTTTCTGTAAGACAGGCACACAACCAACCATAATACAGGACAAATGTGAGTGCCTTAAGGCATAGAAAAAGTGCTATGGGTATCTGAGGAGGGCCAGTTCATAATCTGGCTGATGGGACCAAGAAAGTCTTGATAAAAGAGGTGGTATTTGAAATGGATCTTAAAAATTGGTAGATATTCCATAGTTGATAGAAAAAGAAGGAAAAGACATTCCAGGCAGAGTGAACAGCATGAACAAAGGCATGGCACTAGGAAAGCTCGTGGAAATCTGTAATTAGTCTTTGTGAACATACAGAATCCTAGTCCCCACCCCAGGCTTACTGAGTCAGAATATCACAGTATGAGACCCAGGCACCCAAGTCCCTCCCCCACCCATGAGTCACGTACAGGTGCTCTACAGCAGAGCCTGGACCAGCGCCAGCCCAGGGAGGTGCCTTAGGCACAAAAGGTAAGGAGGTGCACCCTGGCCTTGCGCGGTCCTGAGAGTGACTGCCTTCTTCAATTTTGCTCCCTAGGTATCTCATTCACCTCGCCCAAGTCCCAGCCCTGCTGGATCCAGTTGTTCTCAATTCTGGCCATACATTGGAATTACCAGGGGTGTATGGCAACTTTACAATGTGGCCACAAATTCATAGACACTCTTCGCATAGAGGGGTGGGTCTCCTCCCCTTGAATCTGAAAGACTGTGATTGCTTCGATGAATAAAATGTAGCAGAAGCGATGCTATGGACTTTCTGAGGCTAGGTGTTTAAAAAGCCTCACAATTCTACCTTTTTCAGTGGAATATTTGCTCCTGGCCCCTGGGCTTCCTATGGGAAATCTGACTACCTTGAGCCTCCGTGTTTGGAGGATGTCCTAGCTATATGGAAAGCATATGTAGACACTATGACTGACAGGACCAGCTGAACTCAGCCTTTGAGTCATCCCAGCCTAAGTGGCAGAAAAATGAATAAAGAAGCCTCTAGATGATTCCAGCACCTAGCTGTTTGAGACACGCCCAGCCATTTATGTTGTCTCAGCCAAGACCCCAGACATCACGGAGCAGAGACACACCATCAGTGCTGTGCCCTGTCTGAATTCTTGACCCTCAGGAGTCAGCATAATAACACACAATAAAATGGTAGCTGTTTTATACAAATAAGTCATGGTGTGGTTTATTCTGTAACAATAAATAACCAAAATAAGGAGTTTAAAAAAAAAACAAAAAACAGAAAAATCAAACTGATGCCTTTGCTTCACCTCCAGATTCGTATTCAATTAGCATGAGGCGGCCCCCAAGCATCACTGTTTTTAGAAAAAGCTTCCCAGTTGGTTACGGTGTGCAGCCAGGGTTCAGAACCACTGAACTGATCTATACTGTACTTATGGGGATATAGTAGAATAAAATATCAGAAGATCGGCAGAGGCTATAGGGTGAAGACACTTGAAGTCCGGGGATAGAACTCTGGACTTAGTTAGGTAATGAATTAGAGACATCAGACTTAATCAGGGCAGATATTGATTAGACTGTGCATTAGCAATGTGAATCTGGCATCTTTGTGTGCTTTTACATTATTAACTGCAAATCTCATTATCTGAACTGCTGAAATAGCCCCTTCCCTTTGACAACTGCTCACCAAAAGAAAGTACAAAATTATTTAAAAACAGACTGGCCAACTCATCAAATGGATACTGGTCATCCAAATCACTGAAGAAGAAAAACCAGAAAGAGAAGGAGGAGGGGGACTGACCACAACCATCAGGTTACCAAGTTTAAAAAATACAGTATTATTTGTTACTCCCATTGGATGGAAGATCGAATAGATTTTTCTGCACCAAGCGCAGTTTAAGTCTGGCCTCTCTGACCCGAGCTGTGGGTCCCTCAGTTCTTCAATTCAGCCCTGCAAGTGGCAATACTTTTATGCCAATCCCATGGTAACAAAAGCAGGTGATGAAGAAGACTTTCTCTGATTATAAATGAAGAATAGGAGAATAATCAGTAGTCATCGTTCAAAACCAGGGAGCCATTTGTAACACTTCAGTAAATATGTTCCTTATACCTTTGCTGACACGAATGATATTTTCTGTACCTGTGGCTTTGCTTATTTCCTCTAATGGTCTGTCAAGAAGAAATATAAATTATTAAACAACCAGCTAGTCAATTTCTTTTACGGTTTCAGCGTGAGCACCGTGATGCTGTAGCTGACATCTCTACTTAATGGAAATGTAATGTTCGTAGAAGGCTCCAGTAGGAACGGATGGCAATTAGATTCCCATTCACAGCCAAATTCAATAGGCTCTACAAAGTGATAACTAAACATATTTTTGGTTTTCTTTTTATGTAGACAGTGTGCATTTTCGAAAACTATTTTCACGCATCGTTTTCCTGAAACACAGATGCTTCACTGCTGTATGTAGTATCAGTCACAAACAGGAGACAGCCAACTGGAGAGAGGAAATGCATCTTCTTACCAACTTCTTTGCAGCAAGTCCAAGGGGGAGAAAAAAGGAATGTAATTCTAGATTCCAGCTCTCAGGCTTCTTATGATAAGACTTTAACACAAAAGTATTTCTAGCATTTCAGGAGATGGTAGCTGTTAGGGGATGTATTGTATTTCAATCCATCTCTACTTCGTGGAGGAACTGTTATCTAAACCATTTCAGACAGCAAGGAATCTATCTTATTAATATTTTAAAAAATTCTGTGGAAGGCTATCCTTTGGAGCAATGATTCAGAATCCTTTAGTCAGCTGAGCAGGCATTTTCGTTGCTTTGGCGGCCTAAGATCAAATTCTCTTCCTCCTCTAGGGAACTGTTCTATAGTGTGGATCCTGATCAGGGGCAGGACCCACCTCTTCTGAGGAGGGAAGATGGTCCCTTTCCCTGTCCCCTGGATGCTGGAGCAGAGACTGAGATCTAGGCTCAGGCGACAGGATGCTTCACTTGGGACTTTAAATCTGGGTCAAGGGGGCCGGCCCTGTGGCTTGGTGGTTAAGTGCGCGCGCTGCGATGATGGTGGCCCGGGTTCGGATCCCGGGTGCGCATCGAGGCACCACTTCTCCGTTCATCCTGAGGCCGAGTCCCGCATACAGCAACTAGAAGGATGTGCAGCTACGACATACAACTATCCACTGGGGCTTTGGGGGGAAAAAATAAAATAAATAAAATCTTTAAATCTGGGTCAAGGGACATGAAGGGAAGTTTATTAATGGCAGTGGGCAAAAGCAGCATAGTGTCAGGTGGCCACAATGCCAGCGGAGTCCGAGACAATTTAACCAACATGAGAAGGAGGCCGTGGCTGTGATGACGGCAGCCTTGTCCTCCCAGCTTGATCCCTAGCCTTCCTGTCAACTTCCTGAGAGACTTGGAAGATCCTTTTAAAATTTCTATTATGTTTTACCTTAGTCAGTTAGGTTTTTTTATTTTTTTGCTAGGAACATTTAAGTTCTACTCTCTTAGCAAATTTCAATTATACAATACAGTGTTATCAACTGTAGTCACCATGTTTTACATTAGATCCTCAGACCTTATTCATCTTGTAGCTGAAAGTTTGTACCCTTTAATCAACCACTTCCTATTTCCTCCCTCCACCCCCCACCCCTGGCAACCACTTTTCTACTCTCTGTTTCTATGAGTTTGATTTTTTTTGTTTTGTTTTGCTTTATCAGTGAGGAAGACTGGCCCTGAGCTAACACCTGTCGCCAGTCTTCCTCTATTTTGTATGTGGGTCACTGCCACAGCATGGCTTGATGAGTGGTGTAGGCCCGCACCCGGGATCTGAACCTGCAAACCTGGGCCGCCAAAGCGGAGCATGCCAAACTTAACCACTGTGCCACTGGGCCAGCTCCTGATTTTTTCTTTTTTTTTTAGATTCCACATATAAGTGATACCTTGTGGTATTTATCTTTTTCTG